TTGGTGATCGTACAAGAACTGGTGTTCCAACATGATGTGGCTGTAAGGTCTTTTGTCTTGAAGCAGCAACCAGTTATAGAGAAAGAAGTACACTGAATTAAAAACTGGCCCAAAGAGGGATGGGCTCCGTCAGGTTATATTGTCCTAGACACATCTGTGTTGCTATAGCTGCAGTACATTTGGTGCCTCTATAAAACTTTGTGCATATGCAGATCCAACTATATATATATATATATATATATATTTTTAAGGTGTGCTATGTTTATCAGATAAAGTGTTCAATATCAGAGATAGAGCATATGTAAATATAAATATAACAGTGAACATTGAAGTCAACACTCAGGCCTGATGATTGTGTCTAGCATGAAACAGCCTGTCACCTCTGAGTGTTGACTTTAATGTTCACTTATATATATATATATAAAAGTTCCTCTTTATCAAAATCAACCAATCAACACTCAACAAAATTTATTAATAGTGTAGCAGGAACGTATTGAAGTGCATATAACAAATATTTAATGCCATCTTACATTTTTACCAATTTCCAGTCAGCTCCCTTATATTGGGACGCTTGTTTGCAAAAAATACTATAACTTCAATGGATGAATTAAAATTTTTTACAATAACTATAACATAGTGTATTCACACGTGTTTTTTTTTTAAATCACTATCACAATGGAAAGCAGATTTTATGACAGTTACAATAAATTTGTCTTGGCAAATTACCCCAGTATATGATCATGGAAAAGATCAAAAGTACTTGGGTTCGAAAAAACTATGGCACCTTCCTTGATGAATTTCATCTTAACATTAAGAAACTGATCAGAGGACTGGAAAGGATCATTATGAAAATAAATACAGTGCTGTTCGATAAAAGTGATTCACCTGATTTTTTTTACTAAAAATATTTTTTGTCTATTGTTTTTGGGGTTAAAATAATTTTTAATCTTACTAATATAAAGACCCCTTTCCAGACCACCTAGGAAAAAAGTTTATTCACCCTAATAGGCTATAGGCCATGGTCGATTTTCGTTTCATTCCGTGGACATAAAATTTATATGAAAAAATTTTACTTGATTTCGGGAGTTTCGATGCCATAGAGTCTAAATCTAAAAAGTTCTCCAGATGAGAATTGCGCATTTTTTTATAAATTGTATTTTAAATTGAATATTTTATCGGTATTCTATTGATAATTATAAATTTGGATATAAATGAGATTCAGGAAAAAACTCTGTACAAAAAAAGTGACTCAGATATCGCATTCTAATAATTAAACTGGTAAATTTAAAGAGCTTTTGACAAAATATTGAAAACTATTTTACAATACACTCAGAACAATATTCTAGAGAATTCTAGAACAGCTTAAATTAAATCTAGAGTATTCTAGAATATTCCAAAAAGCCTCATACAGTATAAAAACAGCTTGAAATAGCCACTCAAGTTACTAACCATATAAAAGGGTACAAACACTCATCAGAACCACTTAAGGCATCTATTATTGCCCTCTCAAAAGCAGGCAAGTCTACGAGAGAAATTGCAGAAATTGCTATAACCTTGCAATCAACTGTCTCTCGAGTGCTTAGGGCACATAATGATGCCAGTCCTGCTCCAAGGAAGGAAACAAAAGGATGAAAGAAAAAGATTGATGATAGAATTGACAGGGTAGTCAAGAAGTTGTGAAGAATAGGACTATAACTAGCCAAGAAATTGCAGCCAGTCTAAGCGAAGAGCAAGGTGTTAGTATTGCCTCTTCAACAGTCCGTCAGAACAAGGTTACAAATCTTGTACATGAAGGTTTAAGCTGCTAATAAGCAAAGCCAAGAGACTTGAATGGGCTTACTATTACAAAAATTTCATGGCAGAAGACTGGAAGAATGTTCTCTTCTCTGATGAAATGAAAGTTGAACTAAATTCAAAAGTAAAAGGTGAGTCACATGTTTGAATGATGATATACTGCCTATATATATATATATATATATATATATATATATATATATATATGTGTGTGTGTGTGTGAAAAGTGTGTGTATATAAATATAAATAAATATATATATATATATATATATATATAATTATTTACATATATGCGTGGTATCTATTAGAAAGCACTCAATATCAGAGATAGAGCTAACATAATTGGTTGGATTGATGTGAGTTTGTGAGCCTGGGTTTCATGATCTTGCGATCGTCAGACAAACCCTCTGACAATCGCAAGAGCGGGAAACCCAGGTTCACAAACTCACATTAATCCAACCAAATATATATATATATATATATATATATATATATATATAGTTAATCTCTGACGATCGCAAGAACGTGAAACCCAGGGTCTCAAACTCACATCAGTCCAACCAAATATATATATATATATATATATATATATATATATATATATATATAGTTATTTTTCATAGTTTGATGCAGGCAGGCATAAACTTTCAGATTTCTAACAGAACAAATTTCACTCTCTCCAGTTGGCTCAATACTTTGCCATCCTAAAAGACTAATTTTATTTTTCAACACTAAAGTACCATTTTCTTAAATTCCAATAAACTTAGAACCACTGATTGACTGTGTACAGTTAATGATGTTAATTTCATTAACTTTCAGTAGAAAGATTTGGTTTTGCCAAACTAGGATTAGATTATCTCCCTTGAGATAACAAGACTAATTTAGCTGACTCTGTATGAGAAATTGCTTACGATACAGCCTCTTCTTGTTTTGGGCATTTTCTTTGTAATGGATTCCAATTACCATCGACATGAAGATTGTCGTTATTTTGATAATTTCTACTACTTTAATTTTTTTTCTGTTTTGTTTTCCTTTCAGGCCATGGGCATCTATTTATTTGGGGAACTGATGCTGTCAAATTCTACAAAACAAAAACTTTTAGCTAAAGAATGCTTTCATTTACTTAAAGACAACATGGATGACAGACTGAAGAAATCCGTTGAAGAATTGATTTACGGATAACCCTTGCATCACAATGATTGATTTGTAATAGTTTAATAAATAAAAGTTTAATACATAAATAAAATAAAAATATTTCTTAAATCCCCTGAAAAATATCATCTACTTAACACCTCATTAGCAATTACAGCTACATTCTTAAGGACAGGTCAATCAGCTACCTTTATTTCTGATACCAGATACTTGGATAAGCAAAACAAAAGATCAAAGACCCTGTACCAAATCAAGGAACAATCCTACACACACTTATTACACTCCCTGACCAGTTACTGACCTCACTATAAACCCAGGAAAAGAGATCTTCAAAGTCAGTTCTCTCTACCATTTTGCCAGAAAACAGAAGACTAAAGAAATAATCAGGATGACTGTCTGCTAGAAAGGAGGGGGTCTGGCTTTATTTCTCTGTTCTATGAACTCTGTTGCTCTCATAATAAAAAGCAACCTTCTAAAACAATATTTGTTCAGTGTTCATTCGTACTGAAGGTAAAAACCAACATTCTTTGCAGAAAAAAAGCTAGACAATCTTGGTCCTTCATGCCCACAAAAAAAAATGGAGTGTCAGAAGTCCTGGTTTTCCCTTGGCACAGCAATTATTTTAATTACCTTCATCAAAGATCAAAGACCCTGTACCAAATCAAGGAACAATCCTACACACACTCATTACACTACCTGACCAGTTACTGACCTCACTATAAAAACCAACATTCTTTGCAGAAAAAACAGCTAGACAATCTTGGTCCTTCGTGCCCACAAAAAAAAAATGGAGTGTCAGAAGTCCTGGTTTTCCCTTGGCACAGCAATTATTTTAATTACCTTCATCAAAGATCAAAGACCCTGTACCAAATCAAGGAACAATCATACACACACTCATTACACTACCTGACCAGTTACTGACCTCACTATAAAAACCAACATTCTTTGCAGAAAAAAAAAAAAGACAATCTTAAAAATTCGTGCCCAACAAAAAAAAATGGAGTGTCAGAAGTCCTGGTTTTCCCTTGACACCACTATAATTTTAACTACCTTCACTCCACAGCAATGTTTATTGTTTTAAAAAGCAATGATTAGAATTTTAATAAAACTAAAACATGAAAGTGAATTTATACATTTTCTTTGTTCTTGAGAATTGACAGCAAAAATAATAAACACTATTTATTTATTAGATTCTTTATTGGAATGGTTGGATAAAGCTAATTGTCAATTGATTCAAACTTTATAAAATGGTAAATAATAACGATTACTTTTAGTTCATTTACATAATTTAATCATTTACTTAATGTTTATAAATTTATGAATAAAAAATTACTTTCATATTGATTTTGTAAATTAGTAAATGATAAATATTGCATTGCTTTAGTTTTATTTGTATTAGTTTTTAGAATGTTGCAAGTATAACATTATTGTAAATAAACAATCAAATAGTGTTTCATATTTCTGCTGTAAATTCTCAAGAATTAAGATGTAGAAATTCACTTCCATCATATGTTTAAGTTTTATTACAATTCTAATCATTGTTTTTTTTAAGACAATAAACATTGCCGAGGAGTGAAGGTAGTTAAAATAATAGTGGTGTCAAGGGAAAAACCATCCTTTTGACACTCCATTTTTTTGCGAGCATAAAGGTTCCATGATTGCAAAAAAGCCAACTTTTAAATGGCTACAACAGATTTTGCTGTTATATAAATGTTCACTAACAACTGCGCTAGACTTCAGGTGATTTATGGTGAAGATTTCTTAATCATCTCTAAGAGGAGAGTTCAAGATAAGGAGGCAAGCATCAACCAGAACTTCTATATCAATATTGCTGAATAATATCAGTCCTCCTATATGGATGTGTGGGTGGAGAATGGATAGCAGTTCAGGATGAGAACTCAGAGAGCCAGGTTCAAATTCCAGCAGTTTCTTTCATTCACCTTTTCACAAATACACTTGAATAAAGTATGAATCAATCTCTTCTCCTTCCAGCTATGGGTTAATGTTATGGGACCTACCTTTATGGACTAAATGGAATCGTCCTATTACTATATATACGGGGAGATTATGCCTCTCAAGAGAGCTGTCTACAGTTGACGATTTGACAACTGTACTTTGCTGTCAGTCAGACGTGCAACACTTTTGTATTCATTCTTTTTGTTTAATAATCTGTTTTGACTAAATTGCTGAGTTTGAGTTTTCTTTCGGACAGTCTAAATGAAGAACAGCTCTGAATACCCTTGTGTAAGATAAGAATCAATCTCTTCTCCTCCCGGCTATGGGTTAAATAGTATGGTACATTTGTCTCTTCAAGCTTGGATGGCAAATTTTGTTTTTACAATGCTGTTCACCTTGTACAAATTCCAAGAGATACTTGATATAGGGGGTTGCTGAGTAGAAGTAAGAAGAACAGTTTATGAGTATATGTGGATTGATTGATTTTTCTTTATTGATTATCAACCCTTTGCAGGTTATTTAAAATCTGAAAATATTTTTAGATTGTAAGTATTTTTTCTGAAAGTAGATAATGATTTAGTGATAAAAGTCTTACTAATTAACCCATAGTTGTGGGGAAAAAGAGGTTATTTGCACTTAAGTGAATATAAATAAAACCTGACCAAAATCGAAACTCAGTTCTTCAATTTCCATTTTCGAGCTGTCGTCCATTACAGAACCACACATCCATGCTTACAGCACCTGGTATTCCCAAACAGTCACTCTTCTAAGTACTGACCAGGCTCAGTACTTAGATGGATTGACGTTGCTTATCTTTAGTGATCTTGTGTGTGTATGTATGCATGTATTTTTTTAATTCAATGACAAACATGAGAATATTTGTACAAAATTAAAAAAAAGAAAACTTTAAAAAAATTGTTAAAAATTGTCTTAAATCATTTTCCAAAAAGGTTAATAAAATATTATAAATACCTGTTTTTTTTTAGGGTTTAATAAATCAATTACTTTTTGGATTTTTATCTCCAAATGTACGATTTTATTACTGAGCCGAGGATAAGGGTTATTAAGACTAAGTAGGAGGGAAATTTATTGTTCTAATTTCTTATTTCTTACTCAGTATGTTTGTGTGTATGTATGTGTGTATGTATGTGTGTATGTATGTGTGTATACAGTGAATGGCTCAAGACCATCTCAATCATTCACACATTGCAGATATATTCACTTGCATCAGAACATCATATAATGTATATTAATACAAGATTGGTTTAACGGAAGTTTATTGTTAAGGGTTTTTTGTTTATTATTTTTCTATATTTCGGACAGTTTTCATGGTTTTCAGTACATATTTACATCACATAAACTATGAAAAACGATTACAAATACTAGAAGCAATAAGCATAAAATACAAACAACCCAACATTAATAAAATGTTATTAAATTATTTTTGTTTATGGTTACATATGGCAGGCATTTTGGCTTCTGCCGCTGTTGAAAGTCTTCAAGTGATGTGGTTTCTGTTATCCGTACAATTCTTTGTGACTCTGTATCACCAGTCCACGAATTTCAAAGAAAGATTGACCCATAGGGAACAATCCAAAGGAGTCATGGATCAGGCGATGGCATATAACATACTAAATATATTTCATTAAAAAAAAAAAAAAGCGATAATACAAAATGACACGGGAAGACGCAAAGAAGCAATATTTGAAAATGATGAAACAGACATAGTACAAAAAACAAAAACTTTTTGGTTTGGTTAATTTTAGTTTTCAGCATATCAACCTCAATGGGTTATTTTATGCCGACAAGATTTTTAGGATAGGTTCGTATGAAAAGGATATGCATCCATTGTAAGAAATCAGTGTTCCGGTTACATTGACATATTTTTGTAAAGTGAGTTTTTGTGGAGAGTCTAATGTAATGCCAGTATTTTTTTCAAAAATGTATTGCTGGTATTTTTACTATAAAAATGTATTTTTATACTTGCATGGGGCTTAGCAGTTTTGGGGGTATCGCTATTTGCCCATAGCTGGGACCCTAACAGGTCCGTCCTGGGTATTGATAAACTACATCCGCGTCCTGGATAAGACGATAAACTACGTCCAACAGCAAGGCCATTGATGAGCGAGGAACAACCTCTTAATTGCTGGTTATCCCAGGTCCACCCTGACCCGGGGTGGTAGCACCTGTTAGGGTCTGAGCTATGGGCAAATAGTTAACATCCAAACTTGGGTCAAAATACTATGAAAGTGTAAAAATAGGTTTTAATACCAGAAATACTTTGTAAAAAACATATTACCAGCAATACATCTTTGAAAAAAAAAATATTACCAGCAATACATTTTTGAAAAAGAAAAAAGATATTAACATAGGTACCTCCATGAGATCGCTAAAAAAAGAGCATAGCATGATGAAAAAGACGCCAAATTTGACGAAAACAGAATGTTATCGTCTAAATGTTTATATTATTATTAAAAGGAATGATCAAAGTAATATTTTAATTTTTAAAATTTTTTTCCTTCTTTTTAGAACATTCTAAATTTTGATTAAAAAAACCTTGTTTCTCTTTTTATCACCGTAACTAGTAAAATAACAGACAATTTTAGCACGTTTTTTTTTTTTTTTTGTGTGTGTGTGTGTGTGTGTGAGACACACATTAATTTGGAAAATCTTGCAAAATTAAAAATAATTGTCGGATGTTAATGAAACTTTCAGAAACTATTCACAAAGGATCGAAATTATTATAAATACGTTTTTTTTTTATTAAAGTCATGGCAGAAATATTTTTTTAATATTTATTACCACCCCCATAACTAATTTTATGAAAACGCTAGAAATTCGATCGCGTCAGGTTTAGTGATTACACTAGTTAAAAGCACAAGGCTTCGAGGAATGCAAATCATGTTTTTTTTTTGTTTTTTTTATGAATATGGACAATATTTTCTGAAAGCAAAATATTTTTTCGATGAAAAATGAATTTTTTAATTATAATAGATTTTTACATTTAAGTTGTTAAAATATTATAAAATTAGTTAAAAGCCGCATCGGGTTTCCTAAGTGTGCGTATGAGATCG